TACAGGTATAATGATCCTTGTCATAGTTAAAATCTGCTGCAATAACTTGACCTTCCAACACCAGACCAATAAAAGCATATTTTCCAACATAAACACATGTATGCACAGAAAACTGGTACAGGCCTCCAACAGGTGCTGTAAAAATCCCAGTAGAAGTGTCGTAACCCGTTCCCTCGTTAATCAAAATTTTCGTAAATATAACAATCTCATCTGTAGTATCAAGAACCAAATTTGCCACGTGATGTGCATGGAAAGCGATCGAAGGTCGTTCAAGTTTTCCTGAGAATTGGAAAAATAGTAAAGTAAGTATGTGTTTCTTAAAATTGTGTCTTTATGATTTAATTTTTGTTTGTATATAGGGTACATTTATATAAACATAAGAATTATAATGCGTATTAAAAACCGATGGTCAAATTTAAAGAATAGCCAGACTTCCTGAATTTAATTTGGCATTCCATTTGTAATATAAGCGTTAGGAAATAATTTATGGATATATTCATATATGTAAAACATGATATTTTAAAGCTTTAATAGAAACATGTTTACAAAATAAAGATGATGAATTGTATTCAAAATTAATATATATACATGTAATGAAATAAGTTTAAAGATTATGGCAGTACTAGTTTCTAGTTAACGCAAAAGGCTAGTTAAATTTTTAATATTTCAAACTGACTATTGACGTATTATAAAACTTGAATACACTTTAAAACAATCAATTGACTATCATATAATTAAGTAAGATTTTATGAAACACAGTTTAGAAATTATTATTCCGTGGATGTAGAATAAGAAAAAATACCTTGAAGTTGAGTAAGTTCTTCTCTTTTAGCTTCCATGTCACTCGTGAGGTTTGTTCTTGTCTGCTCAAATAAATTCTTGAAGGATTCTGTAAAAAAAATATTAAAGTACACTTACTAACGGTAATCCAATTTCAATAAGTATTATATGTATTATGCGTACATATGAACTGTATGCAGAACATGTTGTGAAAACAAACTTGAGTTTTACATAGCCAGTAATGTTACTTCTTTAATTAAAACTTTAGTGTCTAATATATATTTTGATTTTCCTCGCTCCCCTTCAATAATCAAATTTCAATTGAAATTTTTCGAATTTCTATTGGCTGACGTGTTAGCCATTTCCTGACGTAATTCAATATAAAATAAATGTAATAAAAATCAGGGAATACGTTCCATAACTAGAAAACTAATGATGATGAGTAAGTATTTTCCTTCATGGAAACATGTTTGTTTGGTATATTTATCGTAACATAAATTGTCACTGTAATTCATGTTTTACTTGAACAGAAATATACAAGCAAACATAAATATCGCAAATCAAATTTAAAATACAGCAGGGTTCTTTGATGCACCAAAAAGAAAAAGCTGGAGATAAACACACGACACAATAGGGCAGAAGAATTACAATTATGTTTTGATAAATTTTAAACATGTTCATGCTCGCACTAGCAAAATGTTGAACATGAGGCTGTTAATCATCAATCATTTCAATGAAAATTTACATGTAAACACTCACGTTTTTATTGTTTCTTATTTTTACATGATTGATTTATACTGAAAATAATGTAATTTAACATTCCGTTTTAAGCAAACTGAAAATATGTTATAGGTTTGCGGCAATGCAAGTTTTGCCATATTCTACATAAATAAACATAGACATTCTCGGTAAATATGTCAGCATAGTAACCGTTATGTATGAAATCTCTTCTTTTTAAAATCTAATGTTGTATTTTTTAATTTGAAAAACTCAACGCATTTATCATATTACAGATTTTCTGATTTCAGTTTTCATAAAGCAATACGAACTATTACTTTGTATTGATTTAGACCTAAACAACAATCAGTTTTAAATTATAATTATGCTAAATATGTAAGTCACTTTTCGCATTGCATCAGTATACAAATATCATTTTCTAACAATGTAGATCTGATGTTTATATTTTACCTTCTCTTCTTTTTATCTCGTCACTTTTCTGTGACATTTCGTCCGTTATGTTTCCCTTCATATCTGCAAACATGTCCGTAAAATCTGAAACTGTTTGCTTAATGACACTTAATGTACTGATGACATTTTCCTCAGTTTTCTTAATTTCATTCACCATTGTTTCTACCTTAATTTCAGTTCTTATCATTTTCTCTAAAAGCTGTTCTTCATATGAGAATTTAGAACATACAGGCTCTCTAGCTTCAGAAAAATTATAACTATATATTCCAACGACAATAACAAGCACAAATAACATTGAGAACCTCATTTTGATGAAGAGAGTTGTAAAATAAAGTTTAGGGAGGTCTCTGAATCTTACTCGCTGAGAGAAACAATTGTATTTATACAAGGAAATCTGCTTTGTTATTGGAGTATGAGGCCCGTAATATATATTTTTGTGTAGTATTTATCAGAAATGCACTAAAATAAGGTATCGAGGAATATCCCTTAGAAACAAGTCGAGTGAAACAGATTGATTTGTCTTTTCATAGACCACACCTCCCGACTGAGAATTAAGTGACAGCACTTTATCAAACATAAGAAACAAATCAGCATGTTTCTATTAAATATATACAGTTGATTCCAAGATCTTTAAGAACAATATATTTTAATAAAGAAAGTAATGTGCTGATCTTTGATATCAATTGTTTTATTATACGTTAATTCAAATCGTTATTTTTTGACATTGTCACGAAATTTATTTATGCACACTCGTATCTTGTAAAGATTCGTTATCAGAAAAAATATGAAAATTACAGACTTATTTTGATCGAGATCATGAAAGATTCTGATAGGTGCAATCTGCTAGCAGCTGCTAAAGCAGTTTTAGGTTCTTTTAATACAATTAAATATTAAAATAGATTATACCGAGGCACAAGAAAACTATTGTAACTCTGAGATTATTTGTTAAAGAATACTGAATCTTGTTACTGGGTCGGGTGGGGGCTGCGTTCATTGAACGCCACCTTTCCTTGTTGATCTTGTTTATCATATTTTATATAGAAAGTCACTTATCAAACTAAAGGAATATTGGTCATTATAAACGGGTACAAGCACATGACTGACGAACCGTTTCTAGAATTACACAAGGGTGAAAGGAGTGGGACATGGGACCTTTTTAATTTAGAGAAACTGTTGGTGTAATAACGTCCTTTAAAGTTCGATTGAAGTCCTTGCTATAAATGTATCAAAATATTAAATAATAAAACAGTCTAACAATTAGTGGCAGAAACGAAGGAACATTTTGTTTACTATTTCAATATTGTTTTATCCAGACTTGCTTTTACTCATTTCATCTTTATTCTGAAGATTTAATTCCATTCGTACAACTACTTGTAGCTGTTTATTGAGTTTTTAGTATTTAAACTTTTTAATGGTCGTACATATTTAATGATTTCTTTCCACATTGAAGGCTTACTGATTTGTTTGTTTTCCAATGTTTTAAGATAATCCTAATTATAGTAACGAACAAGAATATCATGCAAATTGTTAAAATCATAAGTAACTAAGTTGTAACTTGAAAACATTAACAATCCCTCCTACCGAACCTTATTTTATAAAGAAAAGGTAAACATTACTATTATTGCATTATTGAAAGGAAAACATTATTATTCTTATCTTATTTTTAGTGTTTTATTTTAAGAATTTTGGTCTATATTTTATAAAAAATATCTTTATATCGGACACGGAGGTAATATTTTTGTTCGCATGTCATGAAAATCGTGATGAAAAAATAAAATAACAAGGCGTGTCTGTACAACACCCTGAAAAATCCTAGCTGTTGGCCATATGGTAAGAGCATCAATGAATTTCATTTATTCAACATAAATTAAGAGGTGTTATTTTTTTACCAGGATGTATTTGATAATCTATACAAACATATCCTATTCCCGAAAAAAAAATACGCAAGTTTCAACTCTTCAAAAAAAGGTGTTTTGTAAGTTACCATGTGATTTTATACCTATTTAATCTTTCCCTTTGCAAATTGAATGTTATAATACCATGATATTGGTTATAAGCAGATTTTTTTTCGTTTGCATTTATCAGGTTTATCATATTGAAAGCCTTACATTTTGTTACTGTTGAATCCTAAACAATATCATAATTCATATCTCGGTTAACATGTAGTACCAATTACCACTTTATTCCTCTAAATGCAACAAGAAAAGCTAACAGTTTTCAAAAGATTTCATTTTCCTACACACCCGATCTTTCTCTATAATTTCTCTTCCGTTGCAAATATAGATTAAACACTATATAATTTCAAGAGTGCTGATTCAAACATACATTAAAACTGAAAGAAAAAATAATAGATACAAACGTTTCTCAAATTTAGATTATGATGTTTAGAAAATGTGCTTATTTAAATATTATACATAACAGGACATTTGATAATAATAATTATAATAATAATTATAATAATCTGTGTCTCCTATTTTGAAGAATGTGGATTGACAAATTTATGTTTAGATGTATAATTAAAAAAGTACATAAAGAATGCTATAAAACACATGGTGTGAAAAAATACGCAGAACACTTTCATATATCATTTTGTTATTGAATGTGTTACGAATAATGATGTTAGAAAAAGTATATTGTCGAAAGTATTGGACATCGTAGCTTTTACACCTTATGAACTTAGGAATATACGTCTATGTAGCATTTCTCATAAGAAATAAGGCACTATAATAAGGTATGATTGATACCGCAATTATGACATGTTTCAATAAGAGGTTATTTTGTTGACGTTATATCCATATGTTCTACATAACAGTTTCGTTTCAGCTAGGTTCTTATATCCTTAATTAAATCATGATCAAATTTGACTAATATCATTAAAATACTAAGTCATCCTATAATGATATAAACTTACTTTAATTAAAAAAATTATGTTGATATTATAATATAATAAACAATTAAAAATTGAATATCGTTTTATGTTTTTTATAAACTAAGATGACGATATATATACTTGTCATACACTGCTATATTGTATAACTAGGTCCTCATGGGTTTAAAGCCTGCTGGAGTGCATTAAAATGTCAAAAAACAATAATTAAGATCAACAAGGCAAAGGCAACGTTCACAGAACGCAGCCCCCGACACACCAATGCAGGGCATCCAGAAGGGACCCAACCAAAACCTTGAGTTGACATAAGGGAGTTGACATACATGTCAACTCTGTCTTTTACTTCATCCACACTTTTTAAATGTATCATTTATGCTTAGTAAAGTTGTATATAGTTTTGTTTTCCTTTTTACTAAAATCTCTGCAAATACATAATTACCTTTTAACATAAATAATAAGAATACACAAACAATGTATAGCCTTTCTTAAAAGAATTATTAATAAGGAGGGTAACACAACAGCATATATATCCGTGGTGAATATGCGCTTATAACTTGATTTTCTACACATCTTATTCTGCATTTTTTTAAATTTGATAGCAACATTTCAACTCATATAAAGATGGCAGCTTGAACAAACAGCGATGACTCCGCCCGCCAATTGTCGCTCAGCTCAATATACAGTAGTGGTTTTAAAAAATTAAAACAGTTGCAAAATTGTTATTAGTTTGTTGTTGCCTTCGGCCTCTGGTAACAGTTCCAAATGTCATCCCTGATTCCTCTGGGCAACAGTTTGACTGTTCCACAAACACCCATGAAATAACTGTATTCTGTTAACCTTGACATTTTTTATAAAATATAGTCATAACGAAACCTTTGTTTTTGTTACTCTCTTGTTGGAAAGAGTGCATTCATTCAAAGCAACGTTAAACAAGTGATATTAACACAACAGTTCTGTTCCTGTTTATTTTTAATATACACTATTTTTCCTCTTAGCATAATTTAAAGCAACATACTAACATAAAAGTTTTACCAGTGACCATTTTTCAATATTGTGATAAACATTGATTAAATCTTATAAATATACTGTCATTAATTCAAAATATCAATTATAAAGTTCTTATTATAAGTTTTCACTGGTATAGAGGCGCAATCCGAGAGTTCGTAGAATTTTCATAAAGCGTTATTATTTTCATTCGCTGAGTAATCAATGTCTATAGCAACACGCATTGGCAGTCCTGGAGCACGTGAAAAATTGCATTTTTTATTTTGTTTGGAACTGATTAGCATTTGACTTGAGTGCATTTCTGTTAAAGTATAACTCCGCGTAAACATTTTAATGTTATGATATTAACAATAATATTGATAGCGTTGGCACTGACCAGCAATTCAAAATCATGACGTCAAATGGTGATGTCGAGGTAAAGGCTGGGATGAGGCAAGGCGCATAGAGAAACTTTAAAGGAGGCAGTACACAGTTTCGGCCGTTTTGTTTCGAATTGGCCAGGGTCAAATTTACAAATAAGAGACAGTTTTGAAATTGAAGTGGATATTCGAGGTTCTAAATGTTTATAGTTACTATATTTCAAGTTTCAATGACTAGTATTGTGTTTCAGTTATTTAGTAAAATTGAATTTAGTGGCGTTGACCCTTGGTTTTTGAGAGAGTATCAGCTCTTCAATTTAAAGGGTATGCAGAAGACTTAGAATAGTGAAAAAAGTAGGTGGATGGCACCCCGTTTGGATGTTATTTTCAGATTGTGCATTGTTTAAGAAGGAAGAAACACTATAGCTTGTGATTTAATCTTTTGACGTTAATATATTGTTTTATTATGCGAATAGGGGTAATCCGCTTATTTTGTTGTTGATTTTCGCGACCAAAACAATGAAAAACACAGGGCTATGTGCCAGAAAACTAGAAGGTGGACATGTATTTTTAATTGTTTGCTGTGAGATACATATGTATATGTTAAATATGAAATGCATTTATTTCAGGTGTGTGATTACAGACTTGTGTGTGAGATTTTGATTGTGGCGCAGTCAGTTGTTTGCCGAGAAGCCTTGAAAACTGTGTATTGCCCCCCTAAAGAATCCTACCTACAGTATCTATCCCGAATTGATTTAAACTTTTTTTCTGGAGATTAAAGCAACTATACTAGGGTTACGGTTTGAGAATTCAAACAAGCGTCGTATGTATACTCAAATTGTTGTTTTTCTTGTTAAGTGATACATTTATACACACAATGGCTACAGAAACAAAACCATTTCATCGGTTATTGCGTTGAAAAGGGGAAAATGAGGCGCTGGTGTTATCGTGACGTCATTTGTTTACGCTGACATGTTCCGGTCGTAATTCTGTCATTGTTTAAATTATTTACATAATATTTATACATCATTTGCAAAAATGGCAGAACCTTAATAAATTCATGATATATTTGTATGAAAAAATTTGTGTTCCTAAAGAAGCTTTATAATCCCCCCTTGTATTTATACTTACACCAACATCGGCAATCTCTAAGGCAAATACAATAAGAAATCATAAGAAATTAAACATTTGCCAAAGAAACAGTATATCACAGCAGGTCCACAAAAAAAGACTTTACGTCATTTTGATATAAGGTGGTGATACATGATATAGTCATCTTTATTAATAAACTGTAAATGATGTTTATCATTATTTATTAATGATGCATGCATTTCATTTATGACTTGAACAATTTGTATCAATAAACATTATTTTACAACTTGAATATTGTCTATTTCTACCACAACAAACTATAACGTAAATCGTATTATTATACAATATAATATTGTTAACGTATTATTTTCTGGAACCTTTGTAAGAATAAAATAGGTTTCTTATTAAAAGATTTTGACGCAAATCATAAACGCATACCAAGTATTTAGCTGTATAACAAAACAAGTATTCTTACTTTATGACAGTGATATAAGGAAACAGACTGCATGAAAACCGTATTTATTTCATTTAGCTTATATACGATGTTAATGTCATAAATACAAACATAATTATCACAAGGGGTGATGTTGCTATTTTAACAGGAAAAGAACTTCTTTGTTGAATACCCGGTATTATCATCTTCATCAAATAAATCTTTAACGTTGATATGACTGCCAAATCAAAATGTTCATGTGGTTTCGATACCATCACATATGCAGTACCGAAATGTCCTCTTGTAGAAGCAGTGTAATTAATATTTGATTGGGCGATTGGAGAATATTATCCCGAGTTAAAAAGACAAAATTCTGACAATAAATAACCGTTGAATTATAGTGGCGTATATTTACTCTCATGTGTAGGTAAGCTACATGTATATAGCTGTCTTATAAACAAGGATTACTTAATATCTTGATGACAAATTTGTTTACCGGTAAACAAAATGGATTCTGAAGAGACAGATCATGTGAGGACCATATATTGAATTTAATTCTAAAAATAAAACGTATCCAAGGCATCATACATAATATCTTTATAGGCCTTTGTAAAGGACAGAAATATTATTATATAAGCTTCTTTAAAAATGAATAGACGTGACAGTACACTTAGGTCTGTATGGACATACAATCTCTTGTATTAGTGTAACAAAAATATTCGATTGTGAGTCGGGCGTCGCTCAGCGAAGTAATATCTCACGCAATACTTGAATAGCTTTGTGCGAGAAATTAATGACCTACAACTTGGCGTGAACATTAATAAGACATCAATGTCTGTTTAAACTGTACACAGACGACATTGCCATACGGAACAGAAAATGTTACATAAAATGCATACGGTGAAAAGCAGCATGCCTTCAGATCCATGATCATTTTCATGAAGATTTTGAAAATGTTTTTAAAAGTAGGGTATTGTAAAGTGAACAAAGAAAGTACTATACAAATTGAAAACGGCACCTATAGTCCATGTTTGTTACCAAAAGTGGTCCAAAAATCATTCCTGGAAATATGGTGACAAATACTGCAAAATGAATCATCTGTCGAGTATAACATGTAAACTATTGCTGTAAAGACCCTACACTGAGGTTTAAAAGCCTAAAAACATAATATTTGATTTTCTTACATAAATGAGCTGGGACACTTTAAACAGAAACATATGCAAAGATAGTTAAGAAATATACTTAGAAATAAATTGAAAATCGTATTTTTATGCTTTTCTTAGCCCGATTTGAGTGAAGAGCGTTTAAATGCTTTTCATTTTGGGACATTATTTTTACAATTTGACTAATTATCCTCGAAAACGAAGTGCGCGAATGATCTGAAATTTTGCACAAAGATGAATGGTCTAAACCTATATCAAATGGAACATTTATCTGAAAAAGATATTTTCAATCCCATCATGTGGATTCCCTTAAATCTTGAGTCGTTTTACTGTACTTAAATGATTGAACATTTTTCACAAGTTTGTTTTTCTTCAAATAATAAGGCTCATCTGGAGGTATTAAAATAGCCAAATGACATTCTTAAACCTAATGTGATTATGAGTCTCAATCAATTGAAACAATTTACACCAAAATATTTTCGTTTCGCATCAGGAATTAACACTGAAATGAGTTTATTAAGATTATTGTCTATGTATTAATTTTAATTCAGTTATTCACTAGCAGTCCACTAAATGTGTTGAACCTATGTGAGTCTTGATATAACTGGCGATTAGAAGCTGACGATGTGGATTTGATCCAAACTTTTGCCCCTGATTTTAATCTTATTATTGCTCCAAAATTATTACAGCCATAACTAGCATCACCATAGTTAGCATCTGCTGCAATAACGTTACCTTCCATCACTAGGCCCAGATATGAATATTTTTCATTAGAAGCACATGTATGAACATCAAACTGATACAGTCCTCCAACAGGTGCCGTGAACAATCCCGTGGATGTGTCGTAACCTGTTCCCTCGTTAGTAAATGTCTTCTCAAATATGAGAATCTCATCTGTAGTATCAAGAAGCAGGTCTTTCAAGTGATGTGCATAGAAAGCGATAGCAGGTTGTTCGAGGATTCCTGAGAATAGAAATAGTATTTTTTTGTATTTTATATCTAAAATATCTAACTCAAGGGGCCTATGCAAGCAACAAAACCTTATATTTATATTCGGCCAATATCTGAAGAGTTTAAATAATTCAAATAATTAAAAACTAGAATTTGTGAATGTAAACAAATTTATCTGGACGCCAAGTTAGAAATTTACATATGGAGCAACATTGTTTGTTATATCAACATTGTTTGTTATATTTTATTGGCCAGGGGATATACCAATATAAAACATGAGTCAAGTTAGCAACAATTTAATTTGCTATGATCTTTTGTAGATAAATAGTAATCAAACACAATTGATATACAATAGGTAACAATACCTTGGAGTTGAATAAGTTTCTGTTTTTCAGCCTCGTTGCCACTAGTCAGGGTTTTTCTTGTTTCCTCAAATAATGTTTTGAACAACTCTGAAATAAAGTATGAAAATTCTATAAACTAATATCTAACCAAAGTTCAAAGGTATTAAGTTCGTAAGTTTTCTACTAAGGATCCTATCTCTTATTAATTTCGGTCTCCCTTGGAAATAAAAAAGAGTAAAGCATGTATCATTTATTATTTTAATGTCATTCAATACATGCTCTGGTTATTGTTTAAAAACAATTAATGGAAATTCTAGGCGTATGTTTGATTTTTTTGTAGAAACTCGTACATTCAATGTCATGTTTGCAACATTAATAGTTTTATACATTGTATATAATTTACAGAAATTTAGATATTGTAGAAATATATTGTTTGTACTTTTTTTGTCTCGCATTAACTCAAATTAATGTCTTTTCATCTATATAACGAATAATTACAAGTTTATAAATTATTAGAAACATGCACAAAGTATAAAGTTTATTTCTTATTTTATTTAAACTGTTAATAACATGTTTATAATCTCCTGAGAGGGTGTCATTTTGAAGATAGTTCTTTAGTACATTAATTTTAGTACATCATTACGAGAAGAAACAACACCAATTGAACTGTGCAATATACTTGGCTGGGTAAAATAGTAAAATAACATCTTATTTACACAATTATGAATTAAACTCAGCCAATAAACATTGAATACAATATGTAAAAGAGGGGGTGTATACAAAATCTGTAATTCAGTGTATAAAGCACGAGAATTGTCGAAGAAATAAATCGCTGTCACGCTAGGGGGAGTTACTCAATAAACGTTATATATTTAAAATTCATCGTTTAGCTCCCTTGACTGAGACACCACAAAAATACAAAAGTTTGTTTAAAAAGTATCTTAAACTTGGCATTTAGGAGTTTAAATTTGTTCTAAGAAATGTATATTTGATTTGATATATTTTTCTAATATACTTTCTCTGCCTTTGATCTCTTCTTCTCTCTTTAACAACTCGTCCGTTATGTTCCCTCTCATATCGGCAAACATGTCCGTAAAATCAGCAACTGTTTGTTTAATGTCGCCTAATGTACTGATGATATTATCCTCAGTTTTCTTAATTTCATTCACCATTGTTTCTACCTTAATTTCAGTCCTAATCATTTTCTCTAAAAGCTGTTCTTCATATGCAAATTTAGAACATACAGGCTCTCTAGCCTCAGAAAAATTATAACTATATATTCCAACGACAATAACAAACACAAATAACAGTGAAAACCTCATTTTGATAAAGACAGTTTCAACAGAGACGCTTTCTGGATTAAACCCTTGAGCGAAACTGTTTTATTTATTTATAAAAAAACATGTATGTATGAATATGAGGCCCGTATATGAATATTTAAGCGCAACTGCATGGAGATCAAAACAGGAGAAAAATTTATAGGTATCATAGTTCATTTGATATTTTATGTCGGAAAATAAAATCTCAAAACTCGGGTCATGTTTGCACATATGCAATTAACAAAAACAGCCATAATATATTAGTATAGGCAGAATTAAATATTTATTATTAAAGCGGCCTTCATCTTTTAGTTTTTGTGAGAAAACAGACAGTTCATTTCAAACTGAAACAATACCATTTTGAAGAATTACTGCAAGCTTCTTTAAAGTTTTTGTAACTAGCGAAGCGTTAGAGTATGTGATAAATTGAGACATAGCTAATTTGTACATCTTACAACATTATAAGTGTATTATTTTATTGTTACAATTTACTTTAAAGTTACATTAAATAAATTTCATAAAAAACTAAATAGCGACATTTCATTAATAAATTGGGTTTTATATCGACTCCAGGTCTTATTTTGGTGTCCAAACAACCAAAATGAGTTTTATTAGCATAAAAATAGGTAACCTCATTGTGGCGAAATGGGAAATACAATTTCTGTTTGCATGAGAAACTCCGCCTTCGGATCATCCGTACATCAATATTAAATCAACAATCATGACTATAAGTAGCAGTCCTAATTTAACGGTATATTTCCGCATTGTAACGAATGTTTTCATACAAATTTAATCTTTTTACGAGATTATTACTTTTACTGAACCCCAGGTTTAGTGCACCGTGAAGCTTAAACGGTTAAAGTGTGTTTGCACAAGAAAGTATCACATTTGCTGTGTTCGGATAGCAACTATAAAACTGTGACGTAGCGCATACACGAGCTCATTATAGTCTTCATTTGCATGTTAAAATTTGTATACGAACTTTAATGGTACCGTGGGGTTTCCCGTTTAAAATCCTTATTTATGAACAATATTTGATGAGATTTACAACAATACTATTAAACAGGTTAATGAACCTGTAGAATGTTTGATTTTTAGGCCGACGGCAAAATATTTTTATATATTTATTTAATGTAACTTTAAATGATTCAAATAATCTAGATTGGTTTCTTACGGAATCTAAGTTATGTCCTTGTATAAACATCACAATACGAGACCTTTTTTCATTTGGGTTCTATTGGAACACCTCTATTTATATATAGTATGCAGGCTGAATTTACTGCTTATAGCTGCTGATAGGCATATGTTGTTATTTTGCTCGTTTTCATAAGTTTCAAGAACAGTCATGATCATGGTAATTTTTTAACTGATGTATTTACACCTTAATTATTTTATTTAAAAGGTAACTGGTTTACTTTTTGTAATAAAGTTCAAACCGACCCCAAGGAATGACTGACAAATGAACTTTAGAAACCATTTTGCAATAAAATTGTACTAGCTTTATTTTTAAAAACCCCCCCTTTCCCGGACCTTTTTTAAAAAACCCGTATGTCTCAAAAAATTTTAAAATTTTTAAATACCCCTTTTTACCTTTTTTTTAGTTTGTTTTTTGATTTTTTGGGGGTAGGCCTTTAACCTTTTTTCTTTTTTTTTTAACCCTTTGTTAAGGGAAAATTTTTCATGGGTTTTATGGGAAAAATTCCCTTTTTAAAAATTGGGGGTTTAATTATTTTAAAGTTTTTCAAATTTAAGCGTAAATTGTTTATAGGGAAATGAGGGTTTTAGCCATTTACAAATTCCGTGCGTTAATTTCACATGTAAATTTTTGGGAATTTGGGGAAATACGTAAATATCATTTTTTTCAGTTTTTTAAAAATTTTTATCTGGGCCGTAAAAAAATTAATGAAAAGTTTAAACGTTTTAGCCAAAAAAATAATTTGCATTTCAAAACCTCAAAAAATTCTTTTCTACTTTGTAACACTTTTATGTTTTTTTTTGCATATATATTGGCTCATTACTTAAAGACAGAATACTTTTGAAATATATAAATATTTATCCCTTCAGAAACGGAACACACGAATTTGAGGGGGTTCAAATAATGATTTTAGAGTTTGTTAGATGCTTGTGACCATGAAAGAATGAGAGCTGATCATGAATGAGAACTTAGTTGTCACAAAAGTATCAAAATGTACATAAAGTAGTACTTCGACTTCGAAACAAAATACACAATCACTATTTATGTACAATTGCCAGAAAGCAACACTCCTTTATGTCGGGATACTTTAAATATAACATTATATAGAATTTTCTTTAGGCTATCTGCCAATGATTCCATAAATTATTGGTGATGTTTAGAAAATTTTCAGTGCATAGGTGTAGTTGGTGGTTAAATTTGTTTTCGATTCAGAGTTTCAAATAGAAACGTTCTTTAAAGGCTGTTCCAGTGGGTTAGAAAAAAATGGCGTTTAATCTATCGTGTGTAGAAACATATTTGAGAACAACGAATTTTGAAAACGTTGATAAAACTTTGTTTGTTTATTTCATTTCACTTTATATTTTTCAAGCGAAAAACAAAATATTAATAGTGAAATAAATGTGAAATTATCTTCGTTTGCGACATTGAAATGGCGTTCTTGATTTGATTGCTTGTGCACGTGCTGTTTGGCACAACATTGTGACTTCACGTAAACAACACTTTTAACGTCTGTAGAGCATTAACGACTGAATAAATGATATCGGTGTTCGGATTCCTTTTCTTATTTTCTAGATAGTTTTCACAACAATATTCAACAAAAAAGTTTTTATTATATTAATAATCAAACATTAATTAATTAAGAATAAACAACAATCAAAATAGATGTACTGATTATGAGTTACAGTAATTTACACACTTCAATAAGAAAGTTACGTTGTTTTTGTAAAAATGCACTTAATTATATACTCTTAAAACAGACTTCACAGAATGTGGTTGGCATTAGTACGGTACTTTTACAGTAACAATTTCGAAAATAAGCGCAACAGGTTGACTTATGTATTGTGGCGGGAAGTGCACCGTGAAGCTATAACTGTAAAAATGTGGTACCTACGGATTACCTGGGGGGGGGGGAAGTCACACGTACCGAGTTCCGGAGAACATCTATTGTTCCAGTGGCGTTAAACGAATCGTCGATAACATAAGAATAAGAGAAGTTTTTAATTCTAGATCAACAATTACGCTGTGGACGGCACGTTATAGAATTACTTACTTCTATTCAGAGAAATAGTCAAGTGCTTATCTACCCTTTAAATCAAACAATGAATATGAAAACTACATAAATCTGAATCTTACAAAATATGAACGTTTATTGTTTAGCCAGTTTAGAAGCGGTATATTGGCACTTAGAATAGAAACTGGTCGCTTTATAGGAAAAATGGTTGAACAGATGATATTTAGATTGTGTCCCTCAAACAACGAAAGAGACGAAAAACATTTCCTCTTACAGTGCAGCATATAGAACAAATATATTTTGAAACATATTTCTCTCACTAGAATTTGTTAACCTTGCAGACGATTGCAAATTAACACATTTAATTTGTGAATTTCCTAGCACATGTGCTCAATTTGTTGTAAGTGTTTATCTTTACAGACGTTTTGTAATGTACTGTATTTGAACCAAATACTTTTCACTTATGAATATACAATATTTTGCCGTCGGCCTAAAAAATAAGCATTATACAGTTTCATTAACCATTTTAACAGTATCGTTGTAAATCTCATGAAACATTGTTCATTAATTACGATTTTAAACGGAAAACCCCACGGTAACTCAAAGTTCGTATACGAATTATAACATGCAAATGAAGACTATAATCAGTTCGTGTATGTGCTACGTCACAGTGTTATAGGTGATATACAGAACACAGCAAATGCGCGATTTTCATGTGCATACTCACTTTAACCGTTTTAGCTTCACGGTGCACTTGGCATGGCGTTCAGAAAAGAGTAATCATTACAAAATATTCAATTTGTATGAAAACAACCGTTGCAATGCGTAAATATACCCTTACATTAGGACTGCTATTTATAGCCATGTTTGTTGATTTAATATTGATGTACGGATGACCCGAAGGTAGAGTTTCTCATGCAAATTCCGATTTCGCCACAATGAGGTCGCTGATATTTTTGCTTATAAAATTCATTTTGGTTGCCTTCACACCATAATAAGATCATTTGGAGTCAATATGAAACGCAATTTATTAATGAAATGTCGCTATTTCTATTTTTAAGAAATTCATTTAATGTAGCTTTAAAGATTTTGATATTAATGATTCGGGGACAGCTTTATTCAAATGCGATAATATACCACAAAAAAATGCGAAACATACCCCTGAAACTATAGTCAAGAATCAAGAATCATAAATCTTATTTACTTATCGCTCTTCTTAAGTTATTAATATAAAAATTGACTTAAATGGTATTTGAAAACAATCTATAATGTATATGTAAATACATAATGACGACATTATTATATGATTTCTGGTGACTTATAGGCCCATTGGACCGGGCGTTGTTATCTTTTCTTGTATATATGTATTGTAACAGATATGCACATGTCACGATATTAAAATATTTACCTTCTTATTTACTTACTTAAAAGTATACAAATATGTAGCGAATACGAACATTATTTTATAATAAATTTATTATTATTATAACTTAATTATATAGAGGATATTGAATGAGTGTAGGTTCAATACTGAATTTTTAACGAGTAAAAGCGAGCCTCTATGTAGTATAAAAATATTTAGTAATGAAGCTTCACGATTATAATATTCTATTTTTAACATACAGAAAAAAAGAATATTTCTTTCATTTATACTCTTGAGGTATAAAGATGACATTTAGCGCGTCTTTACTATGTCTGTATAAAGTAAAGTAAACAAATCATTCTAATTTTAACGTATTTTATTTATTATGCAGAAATGAAGTCAATTATTGTTATTGATTATAAATTAGTAAAGGGAAGTAATGCTAAAATATGTGTTATGTAAAGTTACTTAAGTTATTCTCATTCATTTGTAACAATCACTATTTTCATTAAAACTTCACATTTCTTTTTGTGGATTGTATTGACAGGCATTACCGAATTTCTTAAATTTGAAAAATGTATTGTACCTAAATTACATAAAGTTAGATAAAGATAGACAAATTCTTTGGCATTATACGAGATGTATTTGAATGCTTTTGACGTAATTTCCTGTCTCATTAAACATTCTCACATTTCATAAACCAAAGTAATTTAGATATATATCACGATTTGTTCATTTCAGTAGTATCCATACAATATATGATGATGTAGATATATGTATCATGTTACATAGCCACTCTGTATCAACCTCTTAAATACCAAGTAGTGTACAATAGTCGCTCGTAGTGAATAAAATCGTATCAAACATACACTGTGTTGCTTTCTTGGTTCTCGACCTGAGAGACATGTAGCCGATATTACAACGTCATGTGTTATTTATGTGTATATGTAAAATGGTGATAAGCTTGTTATTCCTAAACCATGTAATAAAATTTCTGTTTTGTTCTATCATATTCTGTATAGCGCAAACGACCTCAAGTCAAAATATCTGAACAGCCGTGGAAATCCATTTTCAATGAGTCGCAAAAGCGCCAACGGTATAAGATTAATATTATAAACATGAACAAAAGAATATGAATTTCCAAACGATACTTTCAAAAAAGTACATGTTCTTCATTACTTTATAAAAATTTTGTTACATAACTTTTGTAAAATTTGCTAATTACATTTACATACATACATCTCATTGTTTCCTCCCAAAGTTCATTACAACATGGGATATTAAATATCCAGTTATAATATACGATGTCAAACATTTGCTGGTAAACAGTGTTTCAAAGTAAGGATTAAATTAAAACTATTGATAGACTTGGGTATCCATCATATAAAAGCGCATGATATTCATCCGATAATATTGTAAAAATAATAGTAATGCCAAAAATATACAAAAAGAACAAATGTTTACATGCAATATTTATTTGAAAATACGTGACAATATAGATGTTTATGTTTACTGATAAACATAGCAAAAGGCTTTTTTTTAAACTGGAAATCAAATTATACGTCGCATACAATCATCATTGTATGAATATTTGTAAAGATATCAGATATATAATGTCGTATACAAAAGTTGGATGATTTATTCCTTCAGTTATTGACAAGTATTCCACTAAATGTGTTCATTCTTATTGAGTCTTGATATAGATGGCGGTTAGAACTTGACGATGTTGATTTTACCTAAACCTTTTCACCTGATCTAACTCTCACAATTGCTCCAACAGTACTACAGGTGTAATAATCCTTATCATAGTTGTAATCTCCTGCAATTACTTTACCGTCTAATACTAGGCCAATTAAAGCAAAGTATCCTTTAAAAACACATATATGCACAGAAAACTGTTACAGTCCTCCAACGGGTGCTGTAAAAATTCCAGTAGAAGGGTCGTAACCTGTTCCCTCGTTTATCACACTTTTTGTAAATATAATAATCTCATCTGTAGTATCAAGAGCAAAATCTGTCAAGTAATGTGCATGGAAAGCTATCGGAGGTCGTTCAAGTTTTCCTGAGTATAAAAGAAATTCTGGTATATTAATCCATTACTTCATGAGCATTTTGTAAAAATTGCATTTTTTAATTGAAAAGTCTCCCGTTACAATTTCAAATTGCTATAATACTATAAAAACTGCTTCCACGCTAATCAAACTTGGCAAAAATGTTGACTGGACCATTACTCTTGCAACAACATGCTCAGGCTTAAATTTTCTGTTACCATGGCAACGAGGGGACATCTCAAAATTGCCAAAAATCACTATTTTGCGTTGATTCTTTCCATCAAAATTGATTTCTAAGTGCTGCAACTTCTCAATGGATTGAGATAGAGTCAAATGCTTTTCAGCGTTGGTTACATATCACCTGGTCATTTATAGCCTCTCACAAGTCCAAAATTTTCTTGGCGATGAGGGAGACTCCGCCCTCTTCAACCCCTCCCCCCAAACAGAAGGGGACACATCCCCCTTCTGGCAAACCCCTGATGTATCTTTTGGTTGGGGGACCGCGCCGAAAAAGAGGTCACTTTTTTAACAATATTTCTCAAACAAAAACAAGTGTTGGGGCCTAAATAAGGCATTTTATCACCATTTGAGACAAGAAAAAGGGGGGGGGGTGACAAAGGTGTTTAAAGATCCTGTATGTTTTGTAATTGAGATTGCATACCACTCTTCATTGAATTATATATGTATGTAATTATGCAAATTTGTCATTTTTCAAACATGGAAGAATATGTAAAATATGTATTGCAAATATTTGTACATATTTAAGGTAATCATTAAATTATATGCATTCATTTCTTATTGGAAAAATTGACTTAGAATTTTTAGAAAACTAAATTCTAATTACCTCCCTTTATTAAAATGAAATATTAAATTCGGTAATATCTTTATAAATAATGTTTTTTGAAACTTACAATATCTATAAATCTTAATTTGAGCATCATAATTTGTATATAAAACCAAAATAATGTGTTACAGGATCTTTAAAGGCGTGTATATGACGTAATGGGTTAAGAGTTATTATAAAAACATGACTGTAACATAAAGATGGTGAAATGTATTCAAAATAAGAAAATATACATTTAATTGAATCTGTTGAATTATGATTGGAATGACTAGTCTAGTTTTACAGAAACAGGTTAGTCGAATATCAAAAACTCTCAAACTGATTATTGATAGAATATTGTACGTGTATGCACTTCAAAAGAACCAGCTGAATAATGAAACCAACTGAATCATAAAATCAAAACACAGTTTAGGAAAGTAATTACCACGTGGAAGTGAAATGAGAAACAATATCTTGAAGTTGTATCAGTTCCTTTCTTTTAGCTTTCATGTCGCTCGTCAGGTTTGTTCTTGTCTCATCAAATAATTTCTTGAAGGATACTGTAAAATTATAAAAGTAAAATTAATGTTCTGTAAGTATTATATAATATACGTACATATGAACTGTATGCAAAAGCGTGTTGCTGAAAACACAAAACCTGTGTTTAACATAACCAGTTATGTTACTTCTGAAATAAAACTTTAGTGAAGAGAAACAGTCTAATTTATATTTTGCTTTTCCTCGCTCCCCATCTATACTCAAATTTTAATTGAACTTATTCGAATTTCTATTGGCTGACGTGTTAGTCATTTCCTTACGTGATTCAAAATAAAATAAATGTAATAAAAGAATATGTTCCCTTTTAATGAACAATATGATGAGTCAGCTTTTTTCTTTCATAAAATTTGTTTTTTGGTATATTCATTTTAACATAAATATTCACTGTTATTCATGTTTTGTATAAATCAGAAGTATACAAACAAACATGAGTATAGCAGGACATAATTTACAAATACAGCAGTGTTCTTTGACGCACAAAATTGATAGAGATAGGCACAAGGCAGAAAAAGGGCAGAAGGGTAACAATTAACTGATGTGCTTTTATAAATTTTATAAATGTTCATGCTCGTACTAGCAAAATGTTGACCACGAGGCTGTTAATTGTCAATTAATTTTATGAAGAAATCAAAGTGAAAATTAACCTGTTTTACTGTTGTCATTTTTACTTAAGATTTTCTTTTTCACTTTCCCTTAATTCATTTATAGATTTATAATTATAATAATGTAATTTTACGATGCGTTTTGTATTGAGACGGGTTAAGCAAACTGAAAATATTTTAAAACTTTGCAGCAATGTAAGTTATGCCATATTCTATTTTTATAAAAATAGAAATTTTAATTAGATATGTCAGAATTGTAACCGGTGTATGAAATGTCTTCTATTTAAAGCTAATGAATATTTGAATATTAAATGTTCCCCGCATTTATCATATTACCGATTTTCTCAATTTTTTCATAAAGCTATACGAACTATTAAGCTATAATGATTCAGTTTTAAAGATATGAGTCATTTTCTACATTGCATCAGTAATATTTCAGTATACATTTTCTAACAATGTAGATCTGATGTTAATAATTTACCTTCTCTCCTTACTATCTCGTCTCTTCTCTTTAACATCTCGTCTGTTATTTTCCCCCTTTATGTCTGCAAACATGTCCGTAAATTCTGAAACTGCTCGTTTAATTTCGCCTAATGTACTGATAACCTTCTCCTCAGTTTCCTTAATTTCCTTTACCATTTATTCTACCTTAATTTCAGTCCTTATCATTTTCTCTAAAAGCTTTTATTCATATGCAAATTTAGAGCAAACAGGCTCTCTTGCCTCAGAAAAATTATAACTATATATTCAAACGACAATAACAAATAAAAAAACAGTGAGAACCTCATTTTGATGAGGACTGTTGAAAAAACGAGTTTGAGAAGGTCTGTGAATCATATTCGATGAGAGAAACAATTGTATTTATACAAAGGAATCTGCGTTGATACTGCGAGTATGAGTCCCGTAATGTAGTTAAGTATAGTGCGTTAGCCGAAATACACTGAAATACGGTATCAAAGGAAATTCCTTAGAAACAGTATAAGATTGAAACAGATTGATTTTTTCTTGCATAAACTGCACTTCCCAAATGAGAATTAAGTGACATCACTACTAGAAACAAATCAGCATGTTTCTATGAAATGAAAAACATACAGTTCATGCCAAGGTTTTATACAATAATCTGTTGTAATAAAGAAAGTGATCTTTTGACCTTTAATACCGAACGTTTCATTATACGTGAATTTGAAATAATTATTCTTTGGTATTGTCACAAAAGTCATGCAAAAGGATTTATAACTGTAGAAAAAAAGATGTAAATGATAGACTCGCTTTGATCGAGACTGTTTATGAGAGACACTGATAGGTCCAAGCACTTACCACATCCGCTGGCACCTGCTAAAGCAGTATTAGCCATTTTCCACACAATTGAGTATAATAACCTAATATCCTGAAGGCCCAGACAAAAATAATAACACTGAGATAAATTGTGTTTTGTAAGACAGTTACTCATCAAGTTAACGGATAATTGGCCATTTAAACAGGTACTAGTTTGCAAAGAGCTGCCAACAAAGATTTTTGGAGCATCCGTAATATTTAAACACGTTTACTTAAAACAATCTGTTGAAATAATAACGTCCTTAAAAGAGACATTTTTTTTCAATATTACTATAATCAGACTTTTTAAAATAAAAAAACAGAATCCGTCAATAACGCCTAATTGACAAAATTGTAAATTGATTGAGCCGGTTCATGCACGGTACGGGAATTTGTAAGTTACCGTCTACGCCCACGAGCACCGGCTTAAGCAGAATTCAACATTAAAGCACGACAATGGTGAAATTTGAATTAAGAACCAACCTCAGATGTGTTCATACGATGATTAATATGGAACGTTCAATGAGATACGTTAGTGCTGGTCCATGCAAAGCAAAAACTCGATTGAATTCGTTGGTATTAATAGATAAAAAAAAAACCCTTAAAAATACTAAATAAAAATACTAAATTTAATAAGTAGTTAACATTTCGTTAACCATTTCAATATTACTATAATCAGATTTTTGTTTTGCTTAAAATAAAATTCTGAAGATTTAAAACTTTCGTTTAAAAATTCTTGTAGCTGCTAATTGTGTTTGAAGAATTTTAGCTTTTTAATGGCCGAACATAAAGTGATTTATTTCCACACTAAAGGCTAACTGAAATATTTGATTTCCAATGTTTTAAGATAATCATTAATTAAGTAACGAAAAGGAATATCACGAGAATTGTTGAAACAATAGGCAACTAAGTTGTAACGAACCTAATTTTATAAAAAAAAATTAGACATAAATATTATTATTGAAAGGATAACATTATTATTCTTATCTTATTATTTATTGTTTTATATTAAGCATTTGGGCGTATATTTTATGAAACTATCTTTACATCGGACACGTAGGTGATAAATTTGCTCGCATTTCATGCAAATCGTGATGAAAAAAATATAACAACAAGGCGTGTCTGAACAACACCCTGACAATTTTAAACATGATAAGAGCAACAAAGAAGTTCATTTATTCAACTGACATTACCGGTATTCAAGAGGTATTTTTTCCAGGATGTATTTGATATAATAATAATGAACCCATTGACTTTATTAATTGATTCTGATATTCGGGTGTAGCATTTACTACAAGATATTTGTGCATTAGATGTTCAGGCACAAGAAGCTATGTTCACTTTCAATTAACATTTGTATAAATTTGCACATAGACACAGAAGATAAGCTAATGTCCCCTATTTTTGAAAAATGTGGATAGGCAGATTTATTTAAGATTTATAATTGAAAATTACATATGTAATGCAATGAACACACTTTGTGTGAAAAAATACACAGAACACTTTCATATATCATTTCGTTATCAAATGTTTAACAAGTAATGCTAGTAGGAAAAATATAGTATTGAATAATTGGACATCGTTGCATTTGGACCTTATGAATTCTGAAAATAAAAACATACTTAGGCATATACGTCTGTAAAGCATTTATCATAAGAAATAAGGTAGTATGACGAAAGTTTGTGAGAGTGTCCTTACTGTCCTTTCATTTAAAGGTCCTACATTAAGTCAAGACTTTAGTTTTGCAGTTTGAGGAAACATTCTACATTTAATAACGCAATGATTCATGTCCGAACTATTTCCTTTTGTTTCACTACGATTAAGATGAATGTGTTTTTGTTGTTTTTGTTTTTATTTTTTGTGTGTTTCTTTCTTTCTTTTCTTGCTTCAATATCCTTAATATATTGTCCTATCTGTTTGGTAAAGTGAGAAGTCGTGTTAGAATGTTAATAGATAGATACTGATAGAAAGTTACAAATTAAGCTATTAATTACATATTGCTTTAATTTAAAATCAACAGTTTATAATGTTATTTGAAACATAAGATTTACACTTTTATCAACCATGAACTTGAAATAAATGTATAAGCTAGTTTATGCTTCAATTTCAACTTTGATTAAGATTGCTGTGATCTATGGATCATAAAAATTACAAGCTCGTTATCACAGGGATTTCAAGAATAATGTTATGAAGAAACAGGTCGTTACCCAGCAAACATACCTATATCGGGCCGATATCGACTAAATGTCGGAATATCGAAGTCGGCTTTCCGCCATCGGACCGATATATATCCGATATAGACAAACTTGTTAAAGACAGGATGATATCGGTCCGATATAGGTCCGATATACATTTATTTCCTGTTATTCAATTAAATGAGTTTTTTAGTATATTCTTTTCAAATTCAGCAAGAAATCGCTGCTTTTGTAAAGATAATAAAGTCGTTATCATAAAAAAATACTTCGGTGCTATATCGGCTCCATGTCTGTTGCCGATTTATTGTAAGTGATTTGCACAACATGTCATTTTGCTAGCCCACCTGCCATGTGAAGATGTTTGCGCGAAGACTAAAAAAGTGGATTTTTTCTCAAATACTACTGGTAAATTTGTAAATTACTTATGCTTTTGAATAAATTCATTGTTGTAGTATTCGGCGTCATTGATATTTTGAACGTAGGTGTGTGAATTTCATAAATATCTCGCCGAAAATTATTTTGTAATACATTTTCGCGACTGTTTTTAAATTGTTGCCTGAAATCTAGCGGTTGAGAGATAATAAACATCAAATTATAATTTTCTTGTTATTTTTATTAAAAGTTATAACTATGATAGAGATGTCAAATGAAAGTTTTAATCAGAAATAATGAAATGTTGATTACTTATAAAGAAATGGATAGTGCCTGCTTGCCTTTTGAAAGGACACTGTTCTTAACATAATCCTTTAGTAATAAAAATGTGAATATATTATTATGTTGATATATTTTCTTAAAGTATAATGTTTGAAACATGAATGATTCATTGCAGGTAAATCATCTGTCTGTGACATGACAAACAGATACCTGAATCAGAGTGCTGACAACTGAAACAGCTGATTTTGGAGAAAGAAAATGTCATTTTAGAAGTTAAAGATGACCAATTGATGCAATACAGAGTCCTAGGCAACACTTAGAATGAATAAGTTTTTTTAAGACAAAAAAATTCTATGATAATGAAAAAATAATTATTCAGCTTGAGCTTTTAGAATTATTATGTAAAGTTTCATTGTTTTTTACTCATTTATTAACATAAATGTTTCAAAAGAAACTGTTTAATTAACATATATACTTTTTATATACAAATGTATGTGTTAAATATAGATCAAGACAATATTTGTAGCTTGTAACTTGTATCTTTAGCACACACGCACACGCACACGCACACCAACACACACACACACACACACACACACATATATATATATATATATATACTTATAAGGTTTCTTTTCAATTTTTGCTCCAGAATGTCAACGAGCTGAAATTCAATAGCAGGAAATAGCGTCATCTGGCAAATGATCAAGACATAGTGGAAATAAAGAACTCTAGAAAACTAAACAATTGAATAAGTTCATATATATCAGGACTCCTGGAGGGACCACAATTGACACTTGACATTATTAACTCATTTACAAATTACAAAATGCTGTTTAACTCTATTCAACATGATAATGTGAAAAAAGTCAGCTATAGTCTTTCAAAGTTTTACTCAAACTTAATTGTGATCACTGAAAAATGAATCAATAAGCAAGATCTAAAATACAGTTACTAAATATATCAAAGATAACAGCTAGACACTTTCTAGACGGTAAGTCTACAGGCTGTAAAAAAATCAAAGGAACAAGTAAGAAAAATGCTATTGAGCTTATTTTATCTAAACAAAAAGTAGTATAATTAATATAGCAAGGTTGTATTTGCCAGTCTCATGACTTTAGTATTTTTGTTCAAACATTTTCATTTTGACTAATGTTTATAGGAAACATGTAAAGATTAATGTTTAAAATTTTATGTGTGTTAGCAAGGAAAAATCGTAAGTTAAACATACATAGTTTTTAAACATTGAAGTATGTATGGGTAAATATATTATGTATATGAATGTTTAATTATGCTGATGTAATAAAAGGTTTTGCAAGATAAATATATGTTTTGTTATATGTTATGTAAGAAAGAAAAGAGCTTATTATGAATGTAGGTAAAAAAATCGGCTGTAAGTCGGTAAACCCGACTTTGAGCCGGGTTACACATCCGATGTCGAGCCGACTTCGGATGCCGATATCGGGCCGGCATTGAAGATGATATCGGGCCGACACTGGTCCTATATGTAATGTTTGCTGGGTAAAGCTTTAATTTTGTAACTTTCTCATTCAAAGCATCGATAAACAAATGCTATCAACACTACTGTGCTGTTTCTGTTGATATTTTTCTATATGCATGGACATTATTGGCCGTGTTGCACAGGTGCAAACCCGGAATATAGTATAGTGAAAGGCGGGTTACGGGCAGGGAAAATTTTTCGAAACAGCAACTACTTTCACAGCCTCTTGAAATTTGGTATACACCATTGACACGTGGCCCAATACCGTGGGATTTGATTTCAGGTATGTCGCTCATCCACTTCTTGTTTGCCGACTTCGAGGAATTTTCGACATTAATGGTCAATGGTAACAGTTTTTTCAGCCACTACTTATGACAGCCACTGGATTTTTGTATACAGCAATAATACGTGGTTTCATACATGAAATTCGATATTAGTTCTGCAGCTTACCTTCTCCCTATATACTGACTTAGTTAAATTTACGACATTTTCTGAACAGTTTTCTCAACAAATACTTATCACAGCCTCTTAATATTTTGTAATACAGCATTGACACGTGATCACATACCGTGGGATCCTTGATTTGATTTCAGGTCTGTCAAGCATCCACATCCTGTTTACCGACTTAGTTAAATTTTCCATATCAATGGTCAATTGGAGAATTTTTTAAGAACATCTTTTGGGTATACAAATGCAACCCGGCATTTTCTGTTTTTTACCTATTTCCTTACCGCTTAGCATAATGTAAAGCGACATACTGACATAAAAGTTTTACCAGTGACCACTTTTCAATGTCTGAGGTAAACATTAATTTAAATGTATTCTGTGTTCATCGTTGAGTAAGATAGTTTTATTGCAGAAATTTATTGAAATCTATGAAAAATCTTACTGAATGTCTTATTAAAATAAAATAAGATACAAACTATGTTTGAGAATCTGCGTCAAGTTAAGATTGTCCCTTCTGCCTTCTGCCAGTTTTTAATGATACTATATATTCATAGTGTGCCCACACATAGTGTGAAGGATTCAAAGCATAACATATCTACTTTGTGTGAAGTAAAACATGTTATATAAAGTTATTTTACATTAGACCGTGTAATTATCAATATTTTCTAACATCAAATCTGAGCAAAGTATGTCTTTAAGCTTATGGGAAATGTTGTAAACAAAAGTTTTATTGGAATGTATAGTAAATAATTCTAACACGATCAGCATTTTTCCTTCTGAACACAAAATGTGTATGAAATATGCAATAAAATCACTGTTCATCTCTATGGTGGCTGATTTGTGCCATTCGTGTTTTCGCCCGCGCCCCCGCCATTTTTAATTTGTTAATTCTGGCTTGGCGGGGTCGTGGGACGAAAACACGCTAATTAGCGGGGGCGCAGGGCGAAATTTTATTTTATTAAACGCCGCCCCGCACTCCCGCCGTTTAATTTCTTAATTCTCGCTCCGCGCACTCGAGGCAAGAATTTTTATTTGTTAAACTTCGTCGCGCTCCCCCGCTTATTAGCGTGTTTTCGCTACGCGACCCCGCCATTTAAACTTGTTAATTCTCGACTTTTCGCTTGGCGGGGTCGCCGGACGAAAACACGCTAATTACCGGGGGCGCGGGGCGAAGTTTTATTTCATTTAACTTCACCCCGCGCCCCCGCCGTTCTATTTCTTAATTCTCGCTCCGTGCCCTCGTGGGGCGAAGTTTTATTTATTAAAGTTCGCCGCGCGCCCCCGCTTATAAGCGTGTTTTCGCTTCGCGACCCCGCCATTTTAACTTGTTAATTCTCAACTTTTCGCTTGGCGGGGTCGCGGGACGAAAACACAAATGGCACAAATCAGCCACCATAATATTTAGACATGTCACTTAAATATTAATTATACGAATCGCTGAAAATAAATAAGGAACATCAGATACATTTAGCTGATACCCGGTACGGCATCATTAACATGTCTTTTCCGAGCTTCTAAAGCGTTCGCCATATATTTAAATTTAATTGTTTTTGTCTCGATATTCAAAATTTGTCGCAGAAAATGAAAACAAAGAACCACAAAAGGTGTAAATGTTGATACAAAGTCTTGAATTCTTATAATTTAGTTTGATATTAGTAACGGTAATTAAAAAATGTTCTCAAAATATATGACAGATAATTTTTATTCAGGTCATATATTACCAAACTTTTTTGAACTAAAAGACTGTATAGTGCAACGGAAAAACATATGCAATACTGAGTGGTGATAACGATATTTTTATCACGACCTTTTTTGTAAATTTCTAAATACATTTTGACGTCACTAAGTGTTGTTAATCTTTCATATAAATATTGAGGTCAATAACGTCGTTTAATGTTAATTAGTTCATGATCTTCCTGGTATTGTGAAACCGGTAGAGGTAAAATATAATTCAAAAATTTCAATTGTAAGTTTGATATTACAATTTTTCTCTGGTATATAAATACGTGGGACGATCCAAGAATTTGTCGAATTTTCATATAGTGTCATTATTATTTGTCGCACTACAATGAAACTTTTAATGAACATCATTTATCCTTCTCTCGCAAGCGTGCATTTGCGAAACTTACATATTTATTTTACACGCATTGGCAGTTCTGGATCATGTTTTCCTTTTTTTAACTGAGTAGCATTTTGTTTGAGTGCATTGTATCTAGCGAATATCTCCGCGTAAACGACAATTCACAAAAATATGTCCAGAAATTAAAAATCATGACAACTGTAGATGATGTATGTCATTATTTATTAATGATGCATGCATTCAATATTTATGACTTGAACAATTTGTATCAATAAACATTAATTTGCAACTTAAATGTTGCCTATTTCTACCACAATAAACAAAAAAGTTAGACGTATTATTATACAATTTAATATATTCAACGTCTTATTGTCTGGAACCTTTTTAAAAAATAAAGGATCTGAAAGATGATTCTTGTTAAAAGTATTTAGCTGTATACCAAAACAAGTATTCTTACTTTATAACAGGGATATAAGGACACAGCCTGCATGAACATTTATTTCATTTAGTTTATATACAATGTTTATAACTACAAACAAATATCATAAGGGGTGATGTTGATATTTTAACAGCAAAAGAAATTCGATTGCTTTTCAAGCGTCCTAAATGTTGAATATTATAATCTTCATCTTTAACGTTGTAATGACTACCAAATCGCTCATGAAACTAATCTCTAACCAGTTCGCAATATTCGTGAAGGGCTTTGTCTGAGAAATTAATGACCTAGAATTTGGCGTGAACATTAACAACATATCAATGTGCTTTTCACTGTATTAAGACCACATTGCTTTTATTGAAAATATGAAACAATGTCAGATAGAATTCATATGGTGTAAAGCAGAATGTATCCAGATCCATACTGATTTTCATGAAAATTTTGAAAATGTTCGGTATTGTAAAGTGAACAAAGAAAGTACTTTACAAATCCAAACGGCACCTACAATCCATGTAAATTACCAAAAGTGGCCAAAATATGCAAAACAAAAACGCCCTTACTAAGCTAGTCACGCAGTGAAAATATGATGACAAAAACTGCAAAATTAGTAATTTGTCACATATAATATGTCAACTATTTCATGCTTCTTGAGCCCTTTACTGTTTAAAATGTTAGTATACTTTTCACAATTTTGATTTTATTTAAAATATCTTGCATGCAGCTTTAATACAAACAGACAAATCATATTCTGAACCTGATGTGTTTATGAGTCTTAATCTATTGCAATACTTTACACCAAAATATTAACGTTTTTATATGAGGTGAAATAAGTTCATTAAGGTTGATTTGTTGATTTTTAATTCAGTTATTCACTAGTAGTCCACTAAATGTGTTGAACCTATATCCGCTTTGATAAAGCTGGCGGTTAGAACCTGACGATGTGGATTTGACCCAAATTTTTGATCCTGACTTTACTCTTACTATTGCACCAAAATTATTACAGCCATACGATTCATCACCATAGTTAGCATCTGCTGCAATAACGTTACCTTCCAATACCAGTCCAAGATAGGAATGTTTTCCTTTATAAGCACATGTATGAATAACAAACTGGTACAGTCCTCCAACAGGTGCTGTGAACAATCCCGTAGACGTGTCGTAACCTGTTCCCTCGTTTGTGAATGTCTTCTCGAATATGAGAATATGACAAGTACAAATACTGGAGAAACATTCGAAATGCATTTTGATGGAAATTGTACTTCTAGTGACGTGATTTATTTAATTACTTGTAAAAAATGTAAAATACAGTATGTCGGCCAAACCCATCAACAGGTATCAAAAAGAATGAACAGCCATAAATTTGATATAAGAAGTAATAATCATCCCAATTTTTCTTCTAATGTTGCAATTCATTTCAATGCCGAAGATCACTCACTTGATGACTTTTCCTTTATGCCGATTGATAAACTTCATGATAATATGGGGAGACTTTTGAAAGAGACATACTGGATACATAAGTTAGAAACATTTTACCCGAAGGGTTTGAATGCTAAAGTGCTTTACAAATTTTAAACTCAGTTTTCAAGTAGATCTAAATATACTTGCAACTTTTTACAAACTCGTCAATATTTTTTTTAGTACATATCGGCATAAAAAGATTGTTCCATTTTAGTAGTCATTCACTGTATCTAAAAATGTTATTAATTTATTTAAATCTATACAAATACATTATTTATGTCGATGATATAAGTATTTAATTACCTCCCTTTATTCACGCATAATTTTGATTGTTACATTTATATACTACATTATTCGTAATGTATTCATATGGTTTTTCATTATTTCATATAACATAAATTGATTTTGAGCATAATACCATATTTTGAATAGATAATAGATATATCATTTTCATTTTATTTGATAGCTTTATAAAATATACTGATTGATAAATATGTTTCTAAATTATTATCTCCCTTTTTTACAATTTTCAACATGTGATTAAAGCAAAATTTTTTCGAATTCTAAACTTTCACATAAGTAACTGTTGTTTTCATACTTGTTGTAATTATTTACTAGCCTAGTTTCTCTATGAAAATATATGTATCTTTTGATCCAGTTATTTAATGTAATTCCTTTCGAAATTATATATGCTATGTTTTTTTTAAAAAAAAGTATATTTATACATACATATGCACATGTTTTATTGTAATACTTATTGTAATATTATCACGTTCCTTTTACGCGCCAAATGTAACGTCTATTAACGTAGACGTTTGTTTTGTACGTTTACGTCATTTTTATATATGTATCAACTGAGGAAGCTTAATAAAGCGAAACATGTTTTGATACTTAATTTGTGTTGGTTTTTGATCCAATTATCCTATTTGTAATATTAGACAGAAATAACACCCACCCTTACATGCAATTTATTGTATTTAATATGTGTGAATGTTTAAAATTTTGTTATTAGCAAAGTTTTCACATTACACATGTAATGTGTATAAGATTTATCGTAGTTGTACAGGAGCAACTAAAATCTCAAAAATGGAATACCCTGCTGACCTTTCATTTTCTCGATTTCGTTTCATAAAGATGTTGATATTAAAGATTCGTGGACAACTTTATTCAAATGTAAAACATAATATTCACTTATACGCCTCCTGTTTTCCTCCTAAAGTATATAAGATAGATAGATAGATATTTATTCAGGTTAAAACACACATACATGTATACATAAAACAAACACTTTAGCATTTTATATAAAACTGATGACACAATTGTAATAAAATATTTTGGAAGTTTGTCAGACATAAATATCACAGACGGCTCATTAAATAATAAAATATTATAACTAAAAACAAAATCTAAAACTCTTTCTTTCCTATGACTAGATATCAATTTACTAGTTTAATAAAATGTAAGGACGTAAGTGGAAACATGTATAGAGTAGTGTGCAATAACCTCGGATTGCCCATGAAAGCCCGAAGGCTTATTTCCAATGGGGTCCTTGGATATATACTTACAATAATATACAATATAAAACACAAAAACATTGAAAAATACAAAACTTTGGAAACTGGAAGATGTCATTTACGTAAAATATCAAACTTTAGTATTTCCATTAACTTTGCTAAAAAGAAAACAATAAAAATGAGATCAATATCTAGTCATACTAGTGGATTTAATTATGATTTACTAACCTAACTGTTCTAGTAAATGGGCCTTCACAGAGCTTTTGAAATTTCCTATCTTATCAATTTTTTTGATGTATGTTGGCAAGGAATTCCAATCATTAATTGCTTTTTGAAAAAAAGTTACATTATCTTTCCCATAACTTCTTGGGACCCTAAAATTGTACTGATTCGACCGAGTTGAATAAGAATGAATGTCTCGAACAGGTATAAAATTTTCTATCATATATGAAGGGCACTGGTTATTAACAATTTTAAAAACATGATTAAGACGTAATTGCTTATTTCTGTTTTCTACATTTAGTAAAGACATATTAGCAAGAATAACATTATTGACACTATCTCTAGGTCCCATACCGTGTATAAATCTAACAATTTTATTTTGACAAATTTGAAGCTTATTTTTAAAACACTTGTTCAGGCTCGGGTACCAAGAAGAACATGCATAATCAAGGTGACATTGTATTAGTGCTGAGCAAAAATATTTTCTAGTCCTAAAATCTAAAACATTTGCTTGCCTATACAAAAACTTAAGACGTGAATTCACCTTTGTAAGAATACAATTAACAATAGATTCACCTGACACAGAATCATCAATATTTAAACCTAGATATTTAACAGATTTTGTGGATTCAATAGTATGTCCATTACAAACAATTTTGAACTCTTTAACTTGTTTTAGTTTACGTTTGGAACCAAAAATAAGACATTCAGTCTTTCCTAGATGAAGTGACAATTTGTTATCTACAAGCCAAGATGAACAAGACTCTAGTGTTTGTCCAAGTTTTTGAGAAATAATACTTGGATTTTTGTGAGCAAAAAGAATTGCACTGTCATCGGCATACAGAATAAGTTTACATTCTTGATCTATACTAATTCTCATGTCATTTACATAGCACAAAAATAAAAGAGGACCCAGGATGCTGCCCTGGGGAACCCCACATGTAACAGGCATGTAATCTGATAAAATATTATCAACACTAACAGTTTGTTTTCTACTTTAAGATAAGACATAAACCAGTCAGTATTAGAGATACCATCAATTTCAATTTTCCACATAAAATATCATGGTCAACAGTATCAAATGCTTTTTTGTAGATCTAACATTATCATGCCTGTGTATAATCCTTTGGAATTATTGTTTCTGATATGATCCATAAGATGGATAAGACAAGTGTCAGTGGAATAGGAATTTCTAAAACCTGACTGTAATTCATACAATAAACCATTATCAACTAAAAACTTTTCAAGTTGAGAATACACTGATTTTTCTAAAAAAATTTGAAACAATGCTTAAAATGCTTACATGTCTATAATTTCCTACTTCAAGATTACTGTTCTTTTTATATAAAGGTTTTACCCTAGCTACTTTCATGTCATCAGGGACATAATTTTCTGAAATTGACATATTTATGATAAAAGTAATTGGTATTTTCAAAAATGAAGCTGCATCTTTTAAAAATCTAGCAGGAATTTCATCTAAACCAGTACTCTTTGATGAGTTTAAATTCTTAAGCTCTTTATATACAAATGTCTCAGACACATGTTTTAAGTACATTTTATTATTCTTAGTATTTCTATCATTATAAAAATCTAGCAAAGCTTGTGATTCAATGTCAAACTTTTTGCTAGCACAAGGTAACTTATCCACTAGCTTAGAAGCAACAGTAGTAAAAAAAGTCATTAAAATGATTAGCAATTTTTAAAGGATTATGACAATTTTCACTATCAATTTTTAAAACAATATTTTCATTCCCTGTTGTTATGATTTATACCCCAATTGTTTTAAATGTTTCCATAGGCCTTTTTGGATTATTTCTATTTTCAGCAATTTGATCAGTAAAATAAGAAGACTTAGCATGTTTTACTTCTCTTTGAACAACATTTCTAAATTTACAATAACAAGAAAAATCTTCATGGCAACCATATTTTTCTAAACTTGTATAAATAATGATCTCTTGTTTTGATATGGTCTAAAATCTCTGATGACATCCAAGTTCAGTTCTCTGTTTTAATCTAATTTCTTAACAGGAGCAATGGCATTCAACACTGACATAAAAATATCTTTAAAAGCTACCCATGAACTGTTTACATTATCAGAATAAAAACATTTACTCTAGTCTGCTTGACCTAGTTTTTCAATAAACAAATCTCTACTATAATTTTTTACACATCTAACTTTAGAGAAATAATGTTTTGAGAAACTTTGTTTGCTGATTTTCCTTGTACAAAAAGTCAAAAAGTGATCACTAAGGCCAATAGATATAACACCATATTGACTTAGCCTGTCTTTTGAATTGGTAATGATATGATCAATTATACTTTTTCTTGATAAAGTAATTCTAGTGGCTTCAGTAATGATCTGTTGTAGATCAAAAATTTTCAAAATGCTAGTGTAGGATTTAAAAATTGAACTATACTTTTGGTAAAAACAAATGTTAAAAATCTCCAAGAATGTAACATTCACAATCTGATCTAAGACTATATAAAACATTTTCAAAATGTTCAATATAATTTGATTGTTTTGGAGGTCTATATATAGTACCTACAAGTATTGGTTTGGTTTTTGGTAAAAGAATTTCAATAAAAATAATTTCATCATTAAAAACATTTAGGTCAGGTCTAGCAGTAAAAGCAATATCATTCCTCACATAGCAACACACTCCTCCTCCATGCCTGTCTCTATCATATCTTATAACTGTATAATTGTCAATATTAATTTCTGAGTCTGTAACAGACTTGTCAAGCCAGGTTTCAGATATACCAATAACAGCTGCTTTAGTTTTTAATGCAATTATTCTTAGTTCAGAAATTTTAGGCAAAAGAGATCTAACATTTAGGTGTAAAAAATGAAGTCCTTTTTTGAAGCACTGGAAGTGATCATCTGGTTAAAAACATTTAGGTCAGGTCTAGCAGTAAAAGCAATATCATTCCTCACATAGCAACACACTCCTCCTCCATGCCTGTCTCTATCATATCTTATAACTGTATAATTGTCAATATTAATTTCTGAGTCTGTAACAGACTTGTCAAGCCAGGTTTCAGATATACCAATAACAGCTGCTTTAGTTTTTAATGCAATTTATTCTTAGTTCAGAAATTTTAGGCAAAAGAGATCTAACATTTAGGTGTAAAAAATGAAGTCCTTTTTTGAAGCACTGGAAGTGATCATCTGGTATAGTTGATGGTACAGTAGTTGAAGTAGTTGGTAGTGAAGTGCTGTCAAATAAAGATGATGCATCATGGTCCCGGAAAATCTGTAAAATCTGATGATGAACTGTTGTCTTTTAAAAAAGTCTTGATAATCACAAAAAGGCAGTTCATTAAGTAAACATAATCTGCAAATATATGGAACATGAGTAAAGTTGTGTTGTAAAATTGAACGGTGTTCACTAGAATTATCACAATCAGCACATTTCATGTGAGTTTTTGTATAGCACATAGCACATATCACAGATTTGCTTGTAGCAATAACACCTTTGCTGCATACAGAACATGGAAATTTAGGATTTCTTGATTTCTTGACTGGCATTGAATTTGTACTGAATACTGGTGGCCCTGGATTTGGATGTATATTTCCACTTCTAAGTAAAAAGCACATAATTATAGTTCTTGTATTTAGCCGTAGAAAATATTTATCTAGTACTTTTATGCGTTTTTCTTCGGTTACGAAATGACTCGATGATAAAATAACGTCTGGGGGCGAAAGGTACGAAATAATTGAAGTCAAAATAATTTCTTCTGATGTCTCTTCTTGTATACCAGTAATAATGGGCATACTTCCTGTGTTACAATTGAATGATTGGCACTGTTGATTCAAATAAATGTATTGGTTAAAAGCGTGTAAAATCAAAATAAAAACTGTTGTTGACAAACTTCCAAAAACCGCCATTTTTACGTGCCGTAACAACATTGGATATAATATATACAGTTCAAATATACCATAACAGTTGCAGTAAATGATCAGTTGGTAAACAGTGTTTCATCTTATTCACTTATCCCTCTTCTTAAGTAATCCAAAATGGACTCAAATTAGTAAAAAAAAAGCCATGATACATGTGTAAATACATAATGAAGATTAATATTTTAATGCGATTGCTGGTGACTTAAAAGCCCATGGGTCTGTGTGCGATGTTATTTTTTTTTTCGTGGATGTGTATTGTTATAGACATGCACATGTCACCACAATAAAATATCTACTTATTTACTTATAATATATCAAAATTAGATCATATACAAATTTGTAGTGAATACGAAAACTATTTTTTCATTGTTATACTACTACAGAAATATATAGAAGGCATTGAATGAGTGAAGGTTCAATACTGAAATTAATAATCGAGTTCAAGCTTAAATCTAGCGCGAACAATCATTTTTTTAAATTATTTTAGTGATTTAAAATTTTGTACATAAATAAAAGAATATTAATTTCAAATAAAATGTACTGCGTTATAATCTTGTTACGTAAGTTTTTTTTTTTTTTTTTTTTTTTTTTAAGTTTTATTATAATTTATCTGACATTGCAAACGACAAACGGACACATACGCCTCCTGTTTCCCTCCTAAAGTATATAACAACATTGGATATAATATATACAGTTCAAATATACCATAACAGTTGCAGTAAATGATCAGTTGGTTAACAGTGTTTCAAAGTAAGGACTAACTTAAAAATATTGATGTTTTTGGATATCCATCATATAATAACGTATAATATTCATCAGATGATATTGTACACGAATTTCTTTAATAAAAACGTACAAATGTAAACATATTCATTTGAAAACGCGACAATATAGATATATATGTTTACTGATAAACACAGCAAGATATCTTTTCTAAGATTGGTTATCAAAATATTCGTCATATATTATTATTGCATGTATATTTATAAATATTTCAGATATATAATGTAGCATACACAAGTTGAATGATTTATTCATTCAGTTATTGACAAGTACTCCACTAAATGTGTTCATGCTAACTGAGTCTTGATACAGCTGGCGGTTAGAACAACACGATGTTGGTTTGACCCAAACTTTTTCACCTGATCTTACTCTCACTATTGCTCCAACAGTACTACAGGTGGTATAATCCTTATCATAGTTTGAATCTGCTGCAATAACTTTACCTTCCAACACTAGACCAATAAAAGCATATTTTAAAACATTAGCACATGTATGCACAGAAAACTGGTACAGTCCTCCAACAGGTGCTGTTAATATTCCAGTAGAAGTGTCGTTACCTGTTCCCTCTTAATCACACTTGTCGTAAATATAACAATCTCATCTGTAGTATCAAGAACCAAATCAGCCACGTGATGTGCATGGAAAGCGATCGAAGGTCGTTCAAGTTTTCCTGAGAATAGGGAAAATAGTAAAGTAAGTATGTGTTTCTTAAAATTGTTTCTTTATGATTTAATTTTTGTTTGTATATAGGATACATTTATATAACATAAGAATTATAATGCATATTAATAACCGATGGTTAAATTTAAGGAATAGCCAGACTTCCTGAATTTAATTTGGCATTCCATTTGTAATATAAGCGTTAGGAAATAATTTATGGATATATTCATATATGTAAATCATGATATTTTAAAGCTTTAATAGAAAAATGTTTACAAAATAAAAATGATGAATTGTATTCAAAATTAGTATATATACATGTAATTAAAATGTTAAAAGATTATGGCAGTACTAGTTTATTGTTAACGCAAAAGGTTAGTTAAATTCTTAATATTTCAAACTGACTATTGACGTATTATAAAACTTGAATACACTTTAAAACAATCAATTGATTATCATATAATTAAATAAGATTTTATGAAACACAGTTTAGAAAATTATCATCCCGTGGATGTAGCATGAGAAAACAATACCTTGTAGTTGAGTAAGTTCTTCTCTTTTAGCTTCCATGTCACTCGTGAGGTTTGTTCTTGTCTGCTCAAATAATTTCTTGAAGGATCCTGTAAAAATAATATCAAAGGACACTTACTAACGGTAATCAAAGTTCAATAAATGTTATTATGTGTACATATGAACTGTATGCAGAACGTGTTGCTGAAAACAAACAACCTGAGTTTTACATAGCCAGTAATGTTACTTCTTGAATAAAAACTTTAGTGAAGAGAATCACTAGTCTAATTTTTATTTTGATTTTCCTCGCTCCCCTTCAATAATCAAATTTCAATTGAAATTTTTCGAATTTCTATTGGCTGACGTGTTAGCTATTTCCTGACGTAATTCAATATAAAATAAATGTAATACAAATCAGGGAATATGTTCCATAACTAGAAAACTTATGATGATGAGTAAGCGTTTTCCTTCACGGAAACATGTTTGTTTGGTATATTCATCGTAACATAAATTTTCACTGTAATTCATGTTTTACTTGAACAGAAATATACAAACAAACATAAATATCGTAAATCAAATTTAAAATACAGCAGTGTTCTTTGATGCACCAAAAAGAAAAAGCTGTAGATAAACACACGACACAATAGGGCAGAAGAATTACAATTATTTTTTAATAAATTTTAAACATGTTCATGCTCGTACCTACAAAATGTTGAACATGAGGCTGTTAATCATCAATCATTTCAATGAAAATTTACATGTAAACACTCACTTTTTTATTGTTGTTATTTTTTACATTATTCTTTTCCACTTTTTTATTGATTTATGTTGATAATAGTATAATTTAACGTTCCGTTTTAAGCAAACTGAAAATATGTTATAAGTTTGCGGCAATGCAAGTTTTGCTATATTATACGTACATTAACAGATATTTTGGGTAAATGTGTCGGCACAGTAACCGTTATGTATGAAATCTCTTCTTTTTAAAATTTAATGTTTTTTTTTTTTAATTTTAAATATTCCACGCATTTATCATATAACAGATTTTTCGCATTTCAGTTTTAATGAAGCTATACGAACTATTAAGTTAAATTGATTCAGACCTTAACAACAATCAGTTGTAAATTATATGCTAAAGATATAAGTCATTTTTCGTATTGCATTATTTCTAAAAAGAAATGTAGATATGATGTTAATACTTTACCTTCTCTCCTTTCTATCTCGTCACTTCTCTTTAACATTTCGTCCGTTATGTTCCCCTTCATGTCTGCAAACATGTCCGTAAAATCTGAAACTGTTTGTTTAATGTCGCCTAATGTACTGATGACATTATCCTCAGTTTTCTTAATTTCATTCACCATTGTTTCTA